TACAGAATTGTCCCATAAGTGTTCTGTATTGTACTGATACGGGATGAGCTTACGTATTGTGTACAACCAATTCAGTGCAAGTCTATGCGAGAGATATTATTGGTTAGACTATTAAGAGATAGTAAGAGACACATCTGTGTCTCAACCTCTCTTTCATGTTAAGTTCTACTAATGAAGCAGAGAACCAATATGAGGCACTAGAAACAGCTGTGTGGGGCACTGTCTCTTTTTTGTTTTGTTGTCAATCGTCAATGACAAATTTATTTTAAGACCCTCTTGATTTATAAAACATCTAAAATAAGCGAGTTCACTTTGTGAGTATGCCTTTGTACACTAACAAAAAACAAAACTTTGGAATTTATGAATGAAGTTTGGTGAGTAAGCAGAAAACGCTTTAATTGTTAGGAGTCTTGCTGAAATACCCTCAAGCAGGGCACTGAATCCCAACCAGATTTAGAAATGGCTAACTGCAAAATCTGAATCAATCACTGAATGCGTAACATGTGAGTGGACAGGTTTTTAATTTCATTTGAAATCAATGAATGCATGAAGAGTTTTGACATGTTTGGTCAAGTATTCTCCTACCTGCCAGGCATAACAACCTTTGAACCCCCCCCCTCTCGCACACACACACACACACTGAGTAAACATGGTGGTTGGTAACACTGACTACAGATAGACAGACCCAGACAATTGTACCTGCAGTGACCACAGACTGTGCTTTGAAATTTTAATTTATTGATCACCACCACCACCAACACTTTTTGCGGCTCTACTGTACTGGATTATCAATATAATCCACCAAATTCTATTTAAAATATTTAGCATTGATACAATACTATAATGATTCAAGCTGCTTTCACTTTATTAAATCTTTTTGTTTTTGTGATTATGCAGTGATAATTATTTGTTTATTTTATTTATTTTTATTAGATGATGCAACTTTATTAAATCTTTTGTATTTCTTTACGTAAGATTCAGAGTCTGGGAGCTCTTTTGGGGGAAATTCCTATTATGTACAAGAAATGTTTACTGTGAGGGGTGGGGGGGTATTCTGATTCAATTAAATATTATTTATATAGCACCAAATCATCTTATGGCACTTTGCATGTAGAGCAGGTCTAAACTGTACTCTTTGTTATATTATTAACAGAGACCCAACAATTCCCACCATGAGCAAGCACTTGGCGGTTTTAACAGGAAGAAACCTCGAGCACAACCTAGACTCAGCCTGGACTGGTTGGGTTGAGAAAGAGATAGATAGAGGTAAAATAATTGTAATGATAGTAATGATAATAATAATAATAATAATAATAATAATAATAATAATAATAGTAATAACAATAATAATAACAACAGCTCTAATAATAATAATGGCATCAGCGGGTGTCAGACAAGAGAAGGGGGGCAGTAGGTGTCTTGCAATCATAGATCCAGACCCCACAGCTCCCGAGTCAGAAATAGAGGAGAGGGACGAGAAAGCACAAAACTACGGGAGAGGAAAGAAGTGCATACACATGCTGAAAATGACAACTGAAAATGACAACTGACAATGACAACGACTGATGTTTAGCAAGTATAATGTTTAACATTTATATACTAATAACATTTACTAATTAGCACAAAGGTGTACAGAAGAGGGCCCACGGGAATGTGATGAGATATGCAGGTATTTTGGCCACAAACAACTATCAAAGTGAACAAACAAAACCTGAAACTGATGATGCTAGAGGAAACATAGGGCATCACCAAGTCATTAGAATTCATCATCTTGGCAGCATGGATAACTGTACAAAAGCTTTTGCCACTCCATCCAGTAGATGTTGAAATATTTCACAAGATAGCCTGCTTGTGAACTTTGACTTGCTGACAATCACTAAGGGTAAACCTCTGGGCAGCTATAGGATATCTGTACCGAATGTTGTGACAATATATCCATTCTTGTAGTATCATTTTCTTTTCAGTTTGCAGTTTGGATTGTTTTCTGCACCACAAGCAACAAAATGACTGCTCCCCCACACACCCTTGACTGAAAGGCAGTCGAACACAAAGCGGCTAGGAAGTCGATACTCACCATCACTTTAAAGTTATATAGAATCTACATCAAAAGGGACAAAGGGAGCCAAAAAAAAATCAGGTAGCTGAGCATATCAAGTCCTTATGAAACAGAGAAAGAGAGAGAGTGAGTGAGAGAGAGAGAAAAGAAACCATAAAACAATGTGGTTTAGTTTCTGTTTGCTCAGCTGCTATAAAAACTTGGCGCCAGAAGGTAATTGGGAGCTGACCTGCAGCCATCATGTCAGCTGGGACAGTAAACTGAAGCTGATCTTTTTAAAGTACAAATAACTAAGTTATTAAAGGGGCTATATGTAGTTTTTCAATTCAGTTTTACTTATTAATAAATCCATTTTTCATTACCTTATTGTCAATGGGCTCAAACCTCATTTAGAAATGAAGCACACGCCTGTTTTCTCCGTTGCTTGCATCAGCCATTATTCTGCTTTTAATGTGAGAACACCAGGTCAGAGGCAGCCCTGTGCGCGCTCCCGAGCCTCTCTCAGACTACAGCGACAACACGGCAGCTAACGACATGCAGTCCACTAACACCATAAAAGAACAGCAAATCTTTGCTGATCTCACAGCAAAACACAGGCTCCACGTAAGGATACAAAACAACAACTTCATTGTTGTTGTTGTTGTGCTGAAGCCCATCAGACCAAACAGGATCAGATGACGTCGAGTAAAACCAAAGTGAACTTCGGCAAGGCTGGAGAAACATGGAGAGTCACGTTAGCTCGTATTACTTCACTAACGCGACCCATATTACTATTCTGTGTACCACCGGTATTATGTCAAAGCATTGATTTAGCACGCAAGAAAGGATTTAACGGTACAAAGCAAATGTGGAGCCATTTGTTTACTAGCCTATAGTGATACAAGGCAGGGCAGCCAGCTAATGCTACGTTAGCTCGGACCTGTTTGCTTCGTAACGTTTAATTTAGATTTGTTGTCGTTTTGCCGATACTCAGGTACACAGCTTCTCCACCTCTCATTCGCTGTAACTAACATGACCCACATAACATAAAACACTGCAACAAAAAGGCAAAGGACAACACAGTGGAAGAGCCATCCACTAACACTACAGTAATGTTACTTAACTCGGTTGTAACTGTTATAAAGAGTGACACCAATCTCATTTATAATATTCATTCTAGCTCACTAACCGTTTCCTTATCATCCAATACATGTAGCTGTGCGGACATTTCTGAGCCTCCGGTGAAAGATATACAGATAGTAATGTTAGTTACTGAAAAGCAGACAGGCGCGCTAACGCTGACGTAGCATGTCGGCTAAATGCAGTAAATGTACCGTTATCATGTAACGAGCATGGATTAGTTCAACAAGCTGATAAAAATATTACTGTAATGTTGCAGTGGGAGTTTACCTGAGTTTTTCAGTATGCTGTGTGAAGCTGTCTCTCTGTCTGTCTATAGACACTGTCACACCACCTTTTTTCCGGGAGTATTGAGCAAATATACCGGTACGGAGCCGATGTTGATCTGCCTCTGAGCTGGGGACATTGAAGTGACAGAGCACACCTTAAAGTGCTGAAATGATTGTCCCCCATCCTGATGAAATGCCTTTGGTGTGTGCATCAGCGCATGCATGAAAGAGCAGTGCACTTTGGGGGTTTGAAAACATGGTCACCCTAAATTAGCACAAAACACAATGGGAATGGTGTAATGAAGCTCATAGGTGTTAAGATATTTCACAGAATAAATGAAAACTTACACTATGGCAAGTGTCAAAGTATCACGTCACAAAGTCATGACAATTCATTCTTGATATCTGTACCAAATTCCATGGCATTCCATCTAATAGTTATAGTTGTGATATTTTAATCTGGACCAAAGTGGTATTGGAACCAACCAACAGACCAACATAGAGCCACGCCACTTGCAGGGCTAGAAAGTCCAGTTTTCAGCACCTCTAAACCTCACCAATCAACATGTTATATCTCATTTGTGTAATCCGTACAAAAACTGGAACTATTTCTCACCAGGCAAAATCATGATGGCTCAGCAGGTCAAAATCCTGCAACATTTTGCGTTGTCCGCAACGGTTCATATCCACACGCTCATATTCTCATCCTTGCCGGAGTTGCTATTGTTCTAAGACAGTGTAGTGGGTGCTGTGGATAAGTCCACAGGAAAAATATCTGATTGGCAGGTTATTTTTGGAGGTAGAAGGAAGTTGTTCATCAAAGTTTGTCCCTTTCCTGTTTCAACATGACAATGCACAAAGCCAGCTCCATAAAGAAATGGTTTTCCTAGTTTGGTGTGGAAGAACTTGACTAGCCTGCACAGAGCACCGACCTCAACCCCACCCAACACCTTTGGGATGAACTGGAACACTGACTGTGGAGCTTATAGCAACACATTAGTGCCCATGGTGTGTCGCAATCACATATGGCTGCAAAGTCAGTGTAGCATATTCTGCTGTTGCTGTAACGGTCCCTTAGATGCTGAATCAGGACAGATCAGCTCTGTAAAATGTGATCTGACACACACAAACACACACACACACACATACATAGGCCTAATGTACCTAATGTACATGCACTCACACTCATATATCCATTAGCCTGACCCCTGCATTATGTGTTTCTCTGTCTAACACAAACACACTGACACACACAGATGGTAACCTGAGCACATCCACGGCATATGAAGACTATTGAATTTCACTGAAATATTAACCGTGTCATGGGTTGATAGATAGGTGCTTAGACACACACACACACACATTATAACAAACACATAGAAACACTTAAATGCTCACATAAGGACAGACAGGTGCACATACATGCAGTGTTTGTGTTTGTTGTAGACCATTTTTCATTAATTCAAACTATTTCACAATCTTTCTCTTCTTTTTTATTTTAAACTTCTTTTTTTATCCTTTGTTTCCCTATCTATCCACCTCAGCATTCATCCATCATGGCAGAGCCCTCTTCAGGCTGGTGGAAGCTGACTTTCCTGAGGAGAAAAAAGTCCCAGCCCAAGGTTCTGTATGAAATCCCTGCAGAGGTTGTTTCCAATGCCCCCACCGGAGCCGCCACCCACCCTGAGGACATGGTGCATGGTTCTCAGCTGGACGCCCGACTGGAGAGGATCGTGGATAAGACAACAGCCAGCAAGGGGCGGCATGTTAAGGTGTCTCACTCTGGGAGGTTTAAAGAGAAGAAAAAAGTGCGTGCCACTCTGGCGGAGAACCCAGAGATGTTTCCAGGAGGTGACCCCGTGAGGGATGAGAATCAGAGGGCTGGGAATTGACAGGACACACCGATATTTTAAAAATTGGGAGAGTTTAAAAGTTCACGGCTCTCTGCCCTCATTGTCAGTTGATGGAGCTATAATAGCCAAAATTTTAAAAAAAAACCTAGGCCTATATATCTTCATAGAATGACATCCATTTTCCAATTTAACACTAACACTTAGACTAAGTGAAATTTTTAATATTTCTAGAGAGAAATTTGAGTTTTTCCCATTCATTTAAATACAAAAAATATCAGGCATTGGTCCCCGTGTAGAGAAACTGCAACTTGATGAAACTTGAGCTGATTTCAGCTGTGGTGGTGGTGCTTCTTCCGCTTGTTGTTGATAATAAGACAACAGTGATTGCAGAGATTGATCCTACAAGCTTTCCAGAACAAGATCTTAAACAGTCAAGAAATCTCAGTACACTGTATGCTCCAGGAGCAAACCTGTGACATTTCCATTACTGGATGGATTATCTGACTAGTAGACAAACCTGGCTGTGTAAGATAGTCACTGTGACAACAATACACTACAAGATAGTTTTCCACTTACCCCTAGTGGTGTATTTTTCCTTTTATCAAGTTTTAATGTATCCATCACTGAAGTGTCTCCTGCAATTCCAATACAATGGAAAGTTTTCAAAAGCTCTGATCACAAACGGAGATATATTTTATGGGGGCAAAGTAAATCCAAGTGTCAAGCTCATCTTCAGTGAACTTTGACACACAAATAGACCCTCTCTACTTCATACATTTTGACTTATCAAAGCAGGAAAAGCACAGATGGAATGAATGATGACAGCATCCCTTTTAGCTCCAGGGCTCTGACACATTTTACTGTGACACTTAATAGAATGCAGCCATTGTTAATGTTATTATTTACACCTGTTCTTTTCTTTCTTCAACAAGTCCAATATCTGCTGTGAAAAGGGTCAATTAAACTGAAACTATTGATCAGTAGAAAGACGTTTTAACTTTTGGAGGAAGTTAGAAAGGTAGTAGCATACTAAAAGTGGCTGCGGGTTCTTTATTATCTGATCTTGATGTCTCGTAGAGGGTCGCTGTGTCAAAATTTAGTTTTACGAACCTGGAGTAATGTAGTGCATACTGGACCATGTGCATGAGTAAAGAGAGGCTTAAGGAGGCCTAGCAGCTCAGTTTTACACTGAGGCCACATAGCAGGTTTATCCAGCCGTGCCTCATGTATCTATGGGTTTAAAAATTATTATTATTGTTTGTTATATATTTTGAAACCTCCTTAAACAGACAGTTTCATATCAGGTATACTGGTATTTCACTACATCTTCCCTTTCAAAATAAGTAAAGTAACATCCTGTCACTCTGACATGTTAGCTGGATTACTGGGATACTAAAACATATGAACAGTGGTTTGGCTTTGTTCAGTCAGGGCAATGTCCATGTCTTGTATTTAATTTGAATTTGAAATTAAATATGAGCTTGAAAAAATTCTTTGGGCATTTAGAAAGTTACAAGCCACTGGTTTATTAGTCGTACTGGGGAAGATGTATATCTTTATATTAGTGAGTTAAACACTTGACTTGTAGCCTGGTGTTGCTGAAATCAACACAACAGCAGTAGAAGACAAACACACTGGAGGTCCATGACATAAACACATTAAAACAGCCAACCTGCACACATTGCTGCCAGTAAAAACCCAGTAGATGCTCATCTCGTATTTAAACTGTTCATTCAAACACTCCTCTACTCAGGTATTTGTGTGAAAGTTTGGCTTAGGAGATTGTTTTCTAGATAGATGTCGATCTCTTTTACAGAATCTAGATTATACTATAACATCCAATCAATAGACAAACTCTCTTTAATACCACTTTCAGTTTTGATTCTGGGTGAAATTAATGTAAAGAAAATGTTGATATTCTGTTGTTCTACAGTGCTAAAGTGCTCCCACTGTTGCTGTTATAACTTCAGATTGGAATGTTGCAAAAATGCTGCAAAACTTGAAATTTGCATTTCACATTTGTTTTGTAAATGAATTGTTTAAATTGTATAAATAAAAAATGTCTGAAATTTAAAAGTACATGATTTGTTCTTGCAGATAGACTTATATGTATGTCAAGTATAGCAGCTGCAGCACACAGCAAAATATATACGTTTAATTAACAGTTTCCAACTGTAACACCAAGGTCAGAGTTGCTGTGGTCATTTCCAACCACAAGGGGGCATGCTCACTCTATCTAAAAACCTCATGAGGAAGCCCTTCATGATAGTCTTTGGTGAATTGATGGCATCTAGTGGTCAGAGGAAAAATCACACATTTTCTACATACTGTACACAGGCCACCGGCCACTTTATTAGGTACACCTGTTCAATTGCTTAACACAAAAAGCTAATCAGCCAATCACATGGCAGCAACTCATTGCCTTTAGGCATGTAGACGTGGTCAAGACAACTTGCTGAAGTTCAAACTGAGCATCCGAATGGGGAAGAAAAGGGATTTAAGTGACTTTGAACGTGGCATGGTTGTTGGTGCCAGACGGGCTGCTCTGAATTTTTCAGAAACTGCTGATCTACTGGGATTTTCACGCACAGCCATCTCTAGGGTTTACAGAGAATGGTCCGAAGAAGAGGAAATATCCAGTTGCAGTTGTGTGGACGAAAACACCTTGCAACACTAACTCAAATAACCACTCGTTACAACCAAGGTATGCAGAATACCATCTCTGAACGCACAACACGGCTACACCTACAGCAGCAGAGGACCACACCGGGGGCCCCTCCTGTCAGCTAAGAACAGGAAGCTGAGGCTAGAAGTCACACAGGCTCACCAAAACTGGACAACAGAAGATTTAAAAACGTTGCCTGGTCTGACGAGTCTGGATTTCAGCTGCAACATTCAGATGGTAGGGTCAGAGTTTGGCGTAAACAACATGAAAGCATGGATCCATCCTGCCTTGTATCAACAGTTCAGGCTGCTGGTGGTGGTGTAATGATGTGGGGGATATTTTCTTGGAACATTTTAGACCCCTTAGTTCACTGTACTCCAACGGCCTCCACACTCACCAGATCTCAATCCAATAGAGCCCCTTTGGGATGTGGTGGAACAGGAGATTCTCATCATGGATGTGCAGCCGACAAATCTGCAGCAACTGTATGATGCTGTCATGTCAATGTGGACCAAAGTCTCTGAAGAAGGTTTCCAACACCTTGTTGAAAGTATGTCATGAAAAATTAAGGCAGTTCTGAAGGCAAAGGGGGTCCAACCCGGTACTAGCAAGGTGTACCTCATAAAGTGGGTGGTGAGTGTACTTTTATAAACACAGAGCTCACAATCCAGATAAAATAATAAGAACAATATACTGTATACTGTTTTATTTTAAAGTAAAAGGTATAAAACAACATGGAAAAGAAGGTTTTCACTTTCACATAGCTTAAAGCAAAGTGAAACAAATGTCATACTTCATTTTACTATAGTATTTTAATGTTTAGGAGAGTAATGATCCAATAAATAAAAATCCCCCTCTCACCCCTTGCGGGGTGACATGTATCATCCTCAAGGGGGTTTGAGGGTTCTGAGCAGTATCTTAGCTGTTCCTAGGACTGCACTCTTCTGGACAGAGACCTCTGATGTTTACCTGGAATCTGCTGTAGCCACTCTCCCAGTTTGGGGGTCACAGCCCCCAGTGCTCCGATCGCCACTGGCACCACTGTTGCTCTTACTTTCCACATCTTTTCTAGCTCCTCTTTCAGCCCTTGGTATTTCTCAAGCTTCTCGTGTTCCTTCTTCTTGATGTTGCTGTCTCTTGGGATTGCTACATCTATCACTGCAGCCTTCTTCTGCTGTTTATCGATCAACACGATGTCTGGTTGGTTAGCCATCACCAGTTTGTCAGTCTGGATCTTGAAGTCCCACAGGATCTTAGCTCGGTCATTCTCAACTACCTTAGGAGGCGTCTTCCATTTTGACCTTGGGTCTTCCAGCCCATACTCATGGCAGATGTTCCTGTACACTATGCCAGCTACCTGGTTATAGCGTTCCATGTACGCACTTCCTGCCTGCATCTTACATATCATCTTTGGGGACCATCTTCCTGATGGACTCCTGGATCTTTGTCGTTTCATCCTGTACAGTGGTCTTGACACATATATGTAACATAGCGTAATAACTGAATTTCAAATTCTAATCCCTTACATTATGTGATACTGAAAAAAAATCCCACAGAAAATCCCATCACTGTAGCACCTTACAAATGAATGTGTTACTGCCCAACACTGAAGTTGACTAATGAGACTACGTAACCTTTTGTTGAACTAACTAATTGTGGTTATAAGAGGTAGTTGTATAATGATCCATTTTACTTTCCTACTTTTCTTTTTCCTAAATGTTTCAGTTGTAAGAGAAATAATCTGATATTGTCTTTCAAAGTTGCATAGTCTCGCTTTTACTTTCTTCTTTTCTTCTTTTAAGTATTTGAACAAAAGAGGGCGAATTTCGTAATTGTCCATTGACAAAATTAATGTAGTCGATGTGCTATGAAGTGATGGAGACACATCTTTGTGTGTGTGTGTGTGTGTGTGTGTGTGTGTGTGACCATGCTCAGTTTTGGAAGCAGTGTGGGTCTTTCTCTACACTGGAGCTAATTCTCCCTCCTCACACTGACAAAGAAACACTGAAGAACCAGACGCAGACCTTAACTTAAACCTGAACGCAGGATAGAGGGGTTCAGTGAATGTGCAGTGGAAGGTGTGGAGGTGGATCAGCATGTCAGAGGAGACTCTGTAGAAGGACAGAGTGCCAGCAGGCCAGTCCAGATACACTGCTACTCTGCCGGCGTCAAAGGAGGGGTGGATGGCCCGTGTGTTCGTCGTTCTCTTATTGTGACAGGCAGAGTAACCATTACCGGAACAGAAGAGACCCCAGGACTTGTCATTCTCGCCAAGACAACACTCTTCATCCTCTCCTTTCCTTTTGATTCCTTTGTATGCCACTCCAATATTAACCCATCCTTTCCAGTCCACCTCCCAGTAACAGCGCCCAGTCAGACCTTCTCTACACAGGACCTGCTTCCAGTGGTGAAATCTCTCTGGATGCTCAGGGTACGGCAGCTTCTCCAACACCTCTGTCACCTTTCTGTTGTCCTCGGACAGAGAGAGCTTCCTGTTTGCTGTGTTTGGGTCCAGTGTGAGGTCACAGGCGTCTGGTGGGGAGAATAAGAGCACGCACAGACAGATTTTAGCTCGATATGTTTACTTGGAATTCATGGTTCATTTTTTGATGAATTAGTTGAAGATTAACTCTACCAAAGGGGTTGTGTGTGTGTGTGTGTTTTTTTATGCTGTTTGTCTTAGCAGGATGTCAAAAATGTGCTATATAATTTATAAATATGAAGGACAGTTAAGCCATATTTAGTTATTGATGATTGCTTGAACAATGCCATGTGGCAATTAGTTATGTTTAGATTTAAAAAAAACAAACAAACTGTGAAGCATGGAGATAAATCAGTTCAGGTCATATCCATTTTCACCTAAACAGATTAGTTTAGAATCTTCTTGACTTTATTTCATCACTTCTTGTCTTCTAACTTTACCAAATCTTGCATTGCTTATAACAGGTTAGTAAGCATGGTCTGTTTGTAACAAGATGATCAGGCTGTTGTATATCTACTGTATATTAGTTGGTAAGGACTTTAGGAACACATTGGACAAGCTCAACTTACACATGAAGGGTTTCAAGCGATGTCTGCCACCATGGTCAACACTGAGGCAGAAGTGACACAAGAAATAATGAGAAAGAAACACAGATAGACTTTTCCACTGTGAATAAGAAACTGTCCACTAACTTAACCTACCAGAGCGTGTCCAGTCTCCATTGTGGATCCTCCAGTCTGCCTGAGAGCAGTTTCAGCCCTGACTCTTCTGGATGATTGTAGCTCAGGTCCAGCTCTCTCAGATGGGAAGGGTTGGAGTTCAGAGCCGAGGCCAAAGAAGCACAGCCTTTCTCTGTGACCTGACAGTCTGACAACCTACACATGTATTACAGACATATACATATATGTGTTGCATGACAGATTTTCCAACTAGTGGCTTATTTTTAATCAGCTGTGATCATATAGAACCATACTGGTAATGGACACATTTGCTCCAGTACAAACAGATGACTTAGTGATCAAATTTGCATTTTAAATTTGTCAATGAATATGTCGTAATTAATTTTATACCTTTATTCTGATATTTCCGACTTCAGTAAGTCAAGACCATTAATAAAAAGATCAAACTGTTTCTTCCCATCTGCAGCTGGTCTCATCAGCAGGGCCAGGGACTCCACTGACACAGACTCTTCATATTTTATTTCCTTTTTGATATTTATCCTTCTTGAATTGCAGCACTTGCTTTATATTTCTGTGAATGTTCTACATAATGTGTTTCATTTTATGCACAAATGTACCAAAATATCCACATATTTTTAATTTCAGGATCATAAAAAGCAATAGTATAAAAGTTCTAACTTTGAAACATGACCTCTAAACTCAGATGCATACATTCTTTTCACGCAGACCTTAACATAAGCTTTAACGCAGGATAGAGGGGTTTGGTGAATGTGCAGTGGAAGGAGAAGGTGTGAAGGTGGATCAGTGTGTCAGAGAAGACTGTAGAAGGACAGAGTGTCAGAGTGTAGAAGGCCATCTGTCCTCTAACTTAAGCTCAACAGAAGACGGGTGATGCAAAAAGCCCAAAGCACAGAAGTAAATCAACAACCGAATGGGTTCAACAAAAGAAAATACCCCTTCTGGAGTGGTCCAGTCAGAGTCCTGACTTCAGCCAGGTTGAGATGCTGTGGTATGACCTCAAGGGAGCGATTCACACCCGACATCCCAAGAATATTGTTGAACTGAAACAGTTAGGGTTAGGGTTAACCCTTGAGGCCCCCCCCCCCTCATGAGAGGTAGCTCTCATATTTACCATAAAGACACAAGAGTGGTGAACCTTCTCATTTAACTCTGCATTAAAGCAAAGAAGTGCATTTCTCAAAATGTCTACCTTTTTTCTTTAAGATGAAAAAAAAGGTGTTTTGAAATAACAACACTGTTATTTGCAATGGCATTTTTGTCAATTGAAAAAACTATGGAAAGAGATTTAAGCTAACATTTTCCAGCCTACAATGTCTTTGAACAAGACATTAAACCTCAAGCGCTCCAAAAATTTATCTGCTTCATTGATCATGTGTTTTTTGGTTCATACTGACCGTAGAGTTTCCAGTCTACAATTTGGACTCGCCAGTCCAGCAGATAACAGCCTTACTCCTGAATCCTGCAGATCATTGTTACTCAGGTCCAGCTCTCTCAGAATGGAGGACTCAGAGCTAAGAACGGAGGCCAGAGCCTCAGAGCTTCTCTCTGACAAGTTACAGCCACTCAACCTGATGAGAAAGATACAAATAGGTAGGTTGTCCACTGATTGCAGAGTTGGCAGTCCCCTGCGCCTCGTGTCCACATGTCAAAGTGTCTGTGAGCAAGACAATCAAACCAAAGTGTTCCTAATATTTAGGCCAGTTCCTTGCATGGAGCTTGCCACCAGTGGTGAGTGTTTTTGTAAAAAATTGTAAAGTACTTTGGATAAAGCACTACATAATTGCAGTCAATAAAATCAAATGCAGTCCAAAGTTGAACATGCTTTCATGTCCATCCACCACCCCAACCTCCACACCCTTTGCATTACGACATAAAAGGCATAATTATTTCTTATTGGCACTAGATGTAAATTGTGACCTTCAGAATTGTCCAATATGAACTTAATTACTGGTACAGCCTATATAGTTAACCAAAAGAGCTGCTTCATTGATCATGTATTGAATTGGGTCATGACTACTGACCGTAGAATTTCTAGTCTACAGTGTGGATTCGTCAGTCCAGCAGAGAGCAGTCTCACTCCTGAATCCTGCAGGTCATTGTTACTCAGGTCCAGCTCTCTCAGAATGGAGGACTCGGAGCTAAGAACGGAGGCCAGAGCCTCAGAGCTTCCCTCTGACAAGTTACAGCCACTCAACCTGATGAGAAAAATACAAATCACAAAGTGCATCTTTAATCTCTCTCTCTTTAATGTTTGTTTTGATTTATTTTACATGCCTTCGAAGGTATTGACTCCTGGCAACAAATAAATGAATTGTGTTTATGAAATCAAACCAACCAACATTACCAAACAAGAATGTCAAAATCTGACCATTCTGCAGAACTCTAGATGTTCTGCCAACATTTTCTGAATTATTTAATTCTATAGTATCTACACATGGCCACCACGGTATGGTTAAGCATACGGAGAGATCACTGTCATGATAAATAAACTAAGATTATGGTATGGTTATGGTTAGGAAACTACATTTGGTTAAGGTTAGAGAAAGCTCATTGCCACAGTTTAAAGTGTAATAATGTCTTTGATGGGATGTGGAAATCTGGTCCCCCACATTAAAGAGTCTGGCTCAGCAGGTAGATCAGGTTGTCCACTAATTGCAAAGTTGAGGTTTGATCCCCTGAGGTGGGTATGTGTGTGGGGAAAATTGTAAAGTACTTTGGATAAAAGCACTATGTAAGATGTAGGAGTCAGTGGCATCTAGCAGTGCGGGTGAAGACTACAAACAACTGAATATGACTTTCTTCACCCTCCCCCTTTCAAGCGTGTAGGAGAACCTATGGTGGCTGTGAAAAACCTGAAAGGCCCTATCTACAGCCAGTGTTTGGTTTGTCCATTCTGGGCAAGTGTTGAAATATGGAGGTACAAAATGGCGGACCCATAAAGGGCTAATTCTAAGGTAACAGTGATTCTTATTTGCAGGCGATTATGCACTAATGAAAACATACTTGTAAATATTATATTCCATTTTTGCCATATTCTACCAATAGATCCCTCTAAAACTAGAAATTTAAAGGTCACACTGTTTTCTGTATTGGCACTGAACATTGCCACCAGTTGTGCCAATTCATATGGGCCTGCAGAGTTGTCCAATATGAAATGGGCTGAGTCAGACACATCTGTGAAAAGGCAAAACTGTGAATGCCTAAACAGTTGATCAAAAGATCTGCTTTATGTATTGAATTGGTTCATGACTACTGACCAGAGAGTTTCCAGTCTACAGTGTGGACTCCAAAGTCCAGCAAACAGCAGCTTTACTCCTGAATCCTGCAGGTCATTGTTACTCAGGTCCAGCTTTCTCAGACGGGAGGACTTGGACTTAAGAACACAGACCAGAGCTTCACAGCTTCTCTCTGACAACTTACAGTCTCTCAGGCTGAAGATACAGAAGTGAGAGAAAAAAACATTGAAAATGGCTGTATTTTATTACAAGTACTACAAGTATTACACAAGTATTACAGTTAATATAGTGAGTCTACCCATTTATCAGTGTACCTACTGGGATATTCTCGAAGCTTTGACCACTGGCAGCAGCCTCAGGAGACCTTCCTCTGAAGCAGAGTATTTCCTCAAGTCAAACACTTCCAGGTCCTCCTCTGATGACAGTAAGATGAAGACCAGAGCTGACCACTGAGCAGGAGAGAGCTTGTCTGTGGAGAGACTTCCTGAACTCAAGTACTTTTGGATCTCCTCCACTAGAGAATGATCATTCAGTTCATTCAAACAGTGGAACAGATTGATGCACCTCTCTGGTGACGGATTCCTCCCGATCTTCTTCTTGATGTATTTAACTGTTTCCTGATAGTTCTGTAAGCTGCTTTCTGATGTTGTCAGCAGCTCTTGTAAAAGGACCTGATTGGTCTCAAGTGAGAAACCCAGGAGGAATCGAAGAAACAAGTCCAGGTGTCCATTTGGACTCTGTATGGTCTTGTCTACAGCTCTTTGGTAGAGCAGATTTACCTTAGATTTGTCCCTTAACAGTGAAGACCACTTGGATCTTGATTGTGGTTCTGACAGTAGATTGACACCAGTGTTGGTGAATGTGGCAAAGACATAGAGAGCAGCCAGAAACTCCTGAAAGCTCAGATGGACAAAACAGAACGCCTTTTCCTGGTACAGCCCACACTCTTTAAAGATCTGTGTGAACACCCCTGAGTACACTGAGGCTGCCCTGATATCAATGCCGCATGCTATCAGGTCTGATTCATAGAAAATCAAGTTGCCTTTCTGCAGCTGCTCAAAAGCCAGTTTTCCCAGAGACATGATGATCTTGCTCGTCTCGGTGTTCCAGAGTGGATCCGTCTCAGCTCCTCCACGATATTTGACGTTTCCTATTTTTGACTGAACCACCAGGAAGTGAATATACATCTCAGTCAGGGTCTTCGGCAATTCGTCTCTTGTTTGTGATCCAATTATATTCTCCAGTACCGAGGCAGTGATGCAGCAGAAGACCGGGATGTGGCACATGATGTGGAGGCTTCGTGATGTCTTGATGTGGGAGATTATTCTGCTGGCCTGCTCCTCTTCTCTGAATCTCTTCCTGAAGTACTCCTCCTTCTGTGGGTCAGTGAACCCTCTCACCTCTGTCACCATGTCAACACACTCAGGAGGGATCTGATTGGTTGCTGCGGGTCGTGTGGTTATCCAGAGGTGAGCAGAGGGAAGCAGTTTCCCAGCGATGAGGTTCGTCAGCAGCACGTCCACTGTGCTCGGCTTTGTAACGTCAGTCAGGATCTCATTGGTGTGGAAATCTAGAGGAAGTCGACACTCATCCAGACCGTCAAAGATGAACAAAACATTAAACTTGTCAAATCTGTAAATGTCTGCTTCTTTGGTCTCAGTAAAGAAGAGATGAAGAAGTTCAACCAAGCTGTACTTTTTTCCACTCAGCAGATTCAGTTCTTTGAACGTGAATGGAAATGTGAACTGAATGTTGTGGTTGGCTTTGTCTTCAGCCCAGTCCAGAGTGAACTTGTGTGTTAAGACTGTTTTCCCTATGCCAGCCACTCCCTTTGTCAGCACCGTTCTGATTGGCTGATGAGCTCTGCCAGGTAATGGTTGGAAGATGTCTTCACATTTGATCATAGTGTCTGGTCTTGATTGCTTCATGGATGATGTTTCAATCTGTCTGATCTCATGTTCGTCACTGAACGCTCTACTCCCTCCTTCTGTGATGTAGAGCTCTGTGTAGATCTCATTCAGAAGTGTGGGGTTTCCTGCTTTAGCAATTCCCTCAAAAACGCACTGGAACCTCCCCTTCAGATTACTTTTGAGCTTATTTTGGCACACTGCAGCAAGAGTTCCTACACAGAAAAACAACAAATTACTTTCACAGTCACTGGAGTGAATGAATACAACATGCAGTAACTCTGGGATGCCTCTCACCTGTGGGGGGCATAGATGTTTTGATTGTATTCATGCATGTGTGGTTTTCTTTACTTTTAGTGCAAACCACTTTGCTCAACCATTTACAGCCACAACAAATGTCCAAGACTATCAATCAATCGAGATTGTGCTCATTATCATCATCATCATGTTTTTAGCAGTTTGAAAATTTTAACATTTTCCTGTTCTATCATGTTAAACCTGCACAAAAACTCACTGCTCTGGAGAGAGTCGGCCAGCTTCTCCTGCTTGATTCTCCTCAAGAAGTGGAGTGTGATCTTCAAAAGCGCCAGTTTGCTGCTTGTGCCCTGTTCTTCCTCCCCACCATCCACCACCTCCTCAGTTTTCTTCTGTGTCTCTGAGCACTCTGGGTAATCTGTACTAAGAACTCCCTGGAATGTCTTCAGCATAGTCTTCACAAAAGTGATGATGTTCTCCTCTAGAAGCTGGAATAATATGTAAAATTAAAAAAATGAATGTGGCATTAATGGGCCATACAGGAGCAGGGTTAATGCCCCAGTTGGCCTCAAACAAAATAAGTCTTATTACCTGTAGTGTGTCTTAATTTGCCCCCTTCCATACTTACTATCTTCAGTGTATAGGCGCATTCACATTCACAAATATGGCAAAATGCAGTGCACTATGGGTACCTGGATGGTACACCCATAAAAAGCTGAGTGTGGAACAGTGGAAACTTCTCACTTCTCACCCTCAGTGGTCGCCATCTTAGCTACGCAGCGGAAGGGGAGGGACCATCACTGTATTTTCAAACTTGTAAAAATGGCGGCTGAGAAAACTGCAATGGTTGCAATCATCAAAGTAGAAGTACGTTCATTTTTATTAATTTTTCATCAAATTGAATTGAAGTGAGATATTTTGGCGGGTGACAATCACGGTCGAATAATGGCGATAATGATCCACCCCGTTACAATTTGCCATTAAAGAAGAAGAAGCGAAAACCAAAATGTACAGAATATATATCCATCATGAATTAAAAATGCATTAATGTGGTGCATGTCCCATGGTGGTAATAATAACCTGTTATTTCTTAATTATTTAGGCAATTTACTCACCCTGAATATGGAGGCCAGATCTGTGTCATTGTGCTCATTGTCAGAGTGACCAGTGGTGACCTCAGATCCCTCCTGGTGAACTCTGTGTAGAAAACATAACAGAAATTGATTAACACACACACACACACACACACACACACACTCACACATAAATCTTTAAATTTTCCCAACCAGTGTTGGAATGCAATTTGGTTCAAATCAAATGAACAAGCTTTCTCTAATCATCATGACGGAAGTCCAACATTGTCACATTCTGTCTATCTGTCTCTCCCTCCAGCCAAATTACCACTTCCCCAAACAGCCCAGTCTCACATTAAGATCCACAGCTTCCACATCACATGACGGTCTGGTTTCTTTTAGTGAAATAAAAAAAGGTGGATGCATGAATGTCTTTTTTTTTCTCACAGAAAAACGTGATGTGGATGCAGGCCAATAGGAAAGAATAGGCCAAAGAAACGCAGACACCTCACAGTTTTAGAGACATTATTGTGAAACTAAAATGTTTTGTGCTTTTGTCAAACTTTGTCAACACCTGCTTATCTAAAAAGATACATTTCTCTGTTTGTTCATATCACTTTTTCAGTCCTCTATATGGTCCTGTTAAGTTTTCTAGTGGACTAAAAAAGCAAAGGATTTTATTATTCTAGTACCAAAAAGTTCCCATCTGCAATTTATATACTAAAATATCAATACTTGGCGTCCGTGTATCGATACAGTATTGCCATGGCAATATCACGATACTATGCTGTATCGATTTTTTCCCCCACCCCTACCATACCCCTCTGACACCCTTGTAACAAATATGTCCTCAAATGATGCTCTGAAGGTTGTATTTGATGGCAAAGTAAATGAAGTAATCTGGATTAAAGTCTTGCCTTTCTTTAGTAGAGCGGTGCCGATGTTTGAATGCAAGAGGGGGCTCCATAGATCGGTCACTTTTAAATGACACACAAGTGGTTAGAGAGGAGTCTGGTCTCTCCTGCTGGACTCTGATGGAAATACATAATGAATTGTTATTTCATTTTCTTGTTTTGATTGTCTTTGTTTGTTTTCTTTATCGTGTATTTAATATATTCTCACCGCTGCTCTGTAGAGTGATATCCAGCTCTAAAGCTTAAGGGTTCCCTAATGGAGTGGCTGGGACCAGGGGAGCCTGGTCTCTCCTTCTGGACTGGGCTTTAACAGAGATACAATTTTACTGTAGGTGACAATTCATTATTTCACAAATTTAATATCTTAGCTCTGAAATGGGAAAACAGCTGTAAAGAGTTTTTTTTTTAAATACCCATCTCACCTCTTAGCTTTAGTCCGGCTGCCGTGGTCGGAGAGAGACCCTTTAGAAGGTGGGACATCATCCTCTCTCTCCTCACAGAGATCCATATTGTGTACACGTTTTACAGCAACACACTGGCCTGATTCATTAAACTAAGGTAGTGAGTAAAATGCAAAACACAGTCTATATTGTGTAATGAAGTGAAATGAGAATTAGTACACGCTGAGACATATTCTTAAGACGGGTGTATACATAATGTACTTAGAATGGAATTGGAATTTTAAAAAGTGAAATGTGGAAGTCACAAATCACTTCACTGAATTAAGCCTTTACTTCAACATGGCAAAAATATCAACTATACATTATAATGCAAGACTTACTTTGTCCGTCGGCATTTCTCCAGTTTCTGCGTTTCTTCACCTCTGGTGAGTCATGACAGTAATTCCCCTTTTAATAACTTTTCTGTCAAACAAAAAGAGAAGTGTGCAGAGGATTCATTTCAGTTTCATTTCCCTAAAATTTTTAGAATTATGTGAGTATTTCATGTAGATCTTTTCACCTTTCTTCTCTTGCTGAACGCTGAATAGTTTGCCTACTTAATGTTGATGTTAGAAATATACCAGTGATGAGCATCAGGTCCTCTGGCATTACCATCCCTCCTGCACATCTAAACTAACCTGTAGAGGTCTTTTCTGAGTCCATATTATGTTATTAAAGCAACGTTACAAAGGCAGAGGTTTGAAACAGAAGGACGTTATGGGTGTTTCAACAGGATGTTCCTGAAATGACCTGAACTCTTTTTATTGACTTTATAAAGCACAAAATGCAGCTGTTATACTTGGGAATGAAGATAATAGCATGTTTATAACCCAACCTTATAACATATATAAGGTTGGGTTTAAAATCAGAATGTTACGTAAGTTATGTGACTTAACTCATATGACTTAAGTCATACATAACATTATTTAACTCAAAACTGCTTAAAACTTTGACATTGACTTGGTTTTACATGAAACACAAACACTTGTGTCTCGCATGAAAGTGCTGTGTTTGTTTGACCCATTCACTTATAAAGATGTTTTTAGTGGGAGGATTGGCTGCTCTGGTTCCTAATCATGTAACCTAGCTTGATACCTATTGACAAAGCATATAGTCTAGTGTGTTATCACATATTGCATTACAGTGTAATACACAGACAAGTTATTTCACATATAAGGTCAGTAACTGCATTCATTTTCATGCAACCAACAGGGCAGAGCGCTATTTGTTTTGTAATTTCACAAATTCCCATCCATATCTATGGTTAACCAGTTTACCCAGTGGGTGAACATGCGGACACAGTGCCATCTGGTGGACAGGAAGAGGAAATCCTGTCATTGGTCAAACCTCTGCTGTGTATCAGTCAGAGCCTGCTCCTTTGTGGGGCAAGTTTAAGGTTTTGGGTTGCAAGCGTTGGGGCACTTCTCGCATCAGAATTCCACTCGCTGCACAAAAACAAAAAGCCGCTCCTCTAGTTAAAACTTTACATCTGGTCAGATGATTTCACATGAGCAGGCATTCGCTGAAAACCCCCCAAAAGCAATAAGTTATGCGTGAACAAGAGGTCAAGTTGCTGCCAAAGGATGCAGTGACTGACTGCAAGCAAACCTCATTTTCCCTCTGAGGCCAACATCAAGCAGCTGACCAATCAATCCTTCACCCTCAATACTCAAAATGCCCCCCACTTTTGATTCCGGTTTAGAACAGGAGAGGGACACTCCCTGAAAGAAAAAAGAGAGCTTTGCTGACACAGAACAACCACTTTGGATTGTTCTTGTCAAAACTTTTGCTATGGCTCCGAGACAAATTCTGTGCAGATCATTTCAATTTGTGATCAAACAATCAAGATCCATTCAATTCTAGGAGCCTTTTTTATGACATACAGACTGCTTAAAATGCTTTATTGTTTCTTTGAAGACCAACTAAAGAAGGTATCCTCCAATCAATCTGTCTTCTTGTGCATGCTAGTCAGGGATCTCTCTAACACTCTAGAACTGTTCCTTATTATTTGGATGATCTCTTTCACCAGAGGATGACATGTTGTCTCTCTGATGTTTATCCTGCACTGATTCCCTGTTAAATAAAACTTTATTACTATATTTTAACACTATTCATGGTCTTTCTTTTAGTACATTATGGATCATCTGGCACCTTATTCAGTGGTAGTTATCAGCTATGGATTGGGCCGTGCTTTTTGTTCACAGTCCTGCTTGTGACTGGGGGATCAGGCTTTGGGGTCGGAGACTAGTTCACTCAAACCCCATCCTAAAGCCTTTGAGTCACTTGAGTTCTGGTTTCATCTTTATCTCTATGGGTTTTGTTTTTGTTGCATAATGTTTAATTGGACTTCTCAACTGTTTGGTAGAGCACATTTTGAGTTGTGATATCTGGTTATAAAATGTATTTTCCTTTTTTGATTACAAAATGTTGTATGACAAATATCATTTTATGCCACTGTGTCTGTGAAGAAATGACTACAACATATATATACATGAAATTATGTTCACTTCCCCAGTCAAACGTTTTAGAACCCCTCCATTTTTCAATTTTTTATTGAAATACAGTTCAAGTCCAATGAAATGTAAATTGAAGTTGTTAACTCATTACTTCATCCCTGAAAATTGTATATCTCTGATATTTACATTATTTCTCAGGTTTGTTGACCTTAACTTAGTTTTTACCTTCTTTGGTTATTCTGCAGCAATGGAAGTAAATGAAGCCTTAAAAGCCTTAAAATTTGTAAACACTTTGGAACAGCCTGTGTTAATACACCTTCACCCCTATTTGAACAATATTGGAACTACAAAGGCAATTAATAAAGGAAGACAAACAAGTTGGTCATCATTTGATCCTACAGTGAAATAATGAACAAAACTCCTTCATTTAACTGTTTTATATCTCTGACAATGGCTATTTTGGTGACATAAACGTGTTTGGCAGTTTGCTGCTTACTTTTGTACCATTTAAGGTTTTTCACTGGGCTTGAATTACTTATATTTCAAGAAAAACCAAAAAAATTGGGGTTCTAAAACTTTTGACCACTGGTGTATATGAAAATACAGTACTGATTAGTTAAGTCCAGAGTGATCATACTAATACTGATTGAGCAAAGTCAATTTAAAGCAAAATGACAGTTGTGGACAAATCTCACTCTGAGGGGGCAGTGACACTCCTGCCCAAAGCCCAGGTCTAGATTCAATTATATAGGAAACACTAAATACTTTGGAGAATACCACTAACAGAGGATTTATCACTCAAAACACCGAGAAGCAAATAGTTTTTTTCCTTGTCAGTGCTCAAAGAAACTTATAAATGCAAAAACAAAGTTATTTTCCATTGTGTTTTTTTCTGGGTGGGATTGTATAAGAATTAAGGTTACTGTAAATTTTATAGAAACCACACACAAAGACCACAAGGAGGCGAGAGCTCCGTTTTCTCATCTTTTAATAACACATTCATATCTATGCTCTGTTTTGTTTACAAGGAGTTTAAAACAAGTGTTGATGAGGACTAAAGGAATCAGGCAGGCAGAGGGTGAAAGTCCATATACTGTAAAGACCAAAGGCGCCATCTGGTGGAAGGAGGAAGACTCAACCCTTCTCACGCTGCAGCTCAGTAGCTGGGATCTGAGCAAACAGTCATGGATGCACGACCAAAGCGCATGAAGAGCTTAGTTTTCAGTATGAAGGCTGAGCCCAGATCAGATTAGTCAAGTGGAATCCAGCTCCGAGCAGCATGAGGAGGACAGAAATGATACAGGGCCTCCCTCCTCCCACCTGCAGCTCCACAGTCAGCTAAAACAACAGGTCCTTTTGCTTTTTCAAACGACTCATCAGAAGTGGAAATAGATCATTCATCAGTGTAGAAGGTCCTCACAGGGCGCTCTAACTCATGTAGGCTTTTCACAAAGAGAAAGAAAATGCTAAATGCACCCAAACACAAGAGATACAATCTGCTGTCATAAAAAAAAGAGAGAGAAAATATTAGAAGTCAACCAAAATAAAACATGAAGAATATTTTGAAGTTAAAAAGTGTAAGTTTAATGAAATGAACAAAACAAAATGCAAATTGGATAAAGAAATCTCATTTATGTTGGGTTTGAAAAATAAAAAATAAAAAAAAATAAAAGGTGGTAAGTTTTTGTCTCTTCTTTAAGATTATTATTCAATTTCATAATCCTTTAAAAACAACTAAAATGGAGAAATAAAGCAAAATCATCTTTGGAAGAAGTAAATGTTTTTTTCCTTTAATTGACTATCCACTACAGTATATGGTGATGCCGCTATCCAGTTATTCATTTACCTATATTTCTTTCAAGCAACTTTTTTTTTTGTTATTTTTGTGTCCTTTTTCCAAAAAAAAAAAAAAAATTACCTATTTTTCCCCAAGAGGTAGATCAACAAAACAATTACATGGTTACAGGTGTTGTGCCCCTTGATTCAGGAGGTGAAATTGTGGGTAATTTTAGCGGTCGGAGGCAGGTAAGAAACAAAAAACAGCCGTGTTTAGTTCTGAGTCAAAGTGAGGTGACTGAGTAGAATCAGCTTTGAACAGTTAGGTTGGAAAAGAGAAACTGTTTCCAGAGCAAAAGTGAACACCTCTTCATGATTGGGCCCTACGTGGACCAATCAGGTTGCTGAATACTCTACCCAACACGTAAAGAAAATCCTTGTCCCGACTGCCCACGCAGCCCCGCACCACAATGTGTCCATATTGGGTTTTTTGTCTTTTTTTGTCATTTTTTCTTATTTACTCATTTATTTTTACAGTCCCGTCTCTAAGCTGGAGAGGTTACGTTTCAAAAACCGAAAAATAAATTAAAGTTGAGTGGAAAAAAAATTGTGACAGTAATATAGGACTGTCTGTCCTTTCTGTCTGCATGTCTGGTCGACTGACTACTTGCTCTTGTCTGTTACTATATAATAAAATAAAATAAAAGAAACAATCTTCTGGCTGAGTTTGCTTACGTTTTGAGGTAGCGTTCCTAGTTATGTGTCAAGAGGTTTGTTTGTTTCGTCCCGGTAAGGCGTCCCTTTGCCGGGGTCTCCATTTTGTTTCAAATTTGTCAGACTCGGAGCCCGTCTCTGCAGATGGACAGTAGGAGTCTGCAGTGTTTTATTGCAAACTGTCCTCGCCATAGCTTGAAGTCTGTCAATTTTTATTTAGCGTCCGTCAAGGCTGAGCTACATGTTGTAATGTCTATAAAGCAATACTGTGCTCTGCTGCCACAAACAAGAAGCTGGGTAAGACAGTTTACCCCAAACTCTGAATATCCATGCTTCCAATCTTTAAATAAAGGGACAACACCAGTGAGTTTTAGCCCATTTACTGCATGTACTTTATATTAGTACTGAGTATTTTTAAGCATGTGCTAGTGTTTTAGATTTCTGGGCTTTTCCATTACTTTCAATGCATTTCACTACACTACACCAGTCAGGCTGCAGAGACTTAAAGGCGCTCTAATAAATTTTTTTCATTTATGATGGAGCACTGGCCATGTGTAGCCCTAATGTGAAAGGGTCATTCGAAGTGATCAGCCCACAGCCAAGTGTCACCTGACTGCAGTTCCCCTCAGCTCTACGGAGCGTTTTTGGCATTATTCAGCTCATTTTTGCTTTTTTTAAGATACCTCAGCTGTAATGGCTTGGTTTAAGGAACACGACTCCAACTGAATGGTAATAGGCTAGATGTGTAACTGTTTACTAACTTCACCTGGTAATATTACATCAGTGTTTTGTTATCGGCTCGTTTTTTGTTGCCCCCAAGTGGCTAATAAATTCAATTATTGCAGGTTTAAAAGTTGCTTGAATTTGGAAAGAATTGCATTCAACACTTTTTTAGACCACAAGGATACACACAATACTTTTGGGTGAGAAACACTGAACTTTCTTTTTTGTTTTTGGGAGGAAGCTCCACAGGGTACCTTTAATTAGCAATCAATGCAGGTTTTTGGAAAGGGGGGTTTCCTTTAGGGCCCCAACAGCAAATTGTTGCCCAGGTTAATGCAGCCTTGTTCACGCTGAAGCATGATCTGACTTGTCTTGTCAACGTTTTTTTCCATAGTCATAGTGAAGTTGAAAGGAAGCCAATCAAGACTCACAAATTTAAATATGGTGGTATGTTTGGAAATATGTTGTATATGATTTGTGTAGGAAAATACACAGCAAAAAGATTAAATAGCAACTTATAGAAAATGGGATAAAACATACACTGGTGTGGCCCTTTTTCAGTCTCAGTAAGTTTGATGCTTACATGTTAGTGCGTGGCAACTTAAATTTTTTTTACACTGTGTGGCACCTCACACTGCCAGACTCTGTCCTAGCTGATACAACGTATCAATATATCTCTCAGCTTGCATAAAGAAAAGGACTGAGGGTTCACGTTTGAGCCCCAGAAATGATCCAGATCTGATTTCCTTGTGGCAGAGAGGAAAACCAGATGAAACATAAGAAAGGTCTTACAATTTCTGTCCTACTCAGGATGCAGGCTTTGATTTGCATGTATTGTCTCTACTGTACATACAAAAACAAGACGTGAAGAGTTCAGTTTCAAGATGAGATATTACCATTTGAATGTAGTAATATTTGCTCTGAAATACTACACAGGTTATCTTACATTTGACCTTTTCTATGAGTTCAGTATTACAGGTTATTTGCTCCAAATGGCTCTATACTGCATTTTTGACTGAGCCCCTTCCTGTGTGTTTGGCACAGTTACCGTCATGTACTGAGCTACGTGTTAGCAGTTCATTGTATTTAGTAGCCGTTTTGTTAATAGATTTATGTATTTAAAACCAAAAGACCAAAACTTGATGAAATCCAACAATGTCCAAAAAGAGTCAGAACATCAATTGTAAAAAATAAAAATAAAAAATGGCGGTGGTTAAAAGTTACATAACCAAAACTTCTTGAACAGAAGTGAGCAAAACGAACACGATGCAGACCAGCGCAAGAGAGGGCGAGGGACCCTGACGTTCCCGCCCGCTCCAAAAATGAAATGATCTTTTTAGTTTTTTTTTAATAAAAAGGAAATAAAAACTTCTCACTCTTTTCCCGGAGTACAGAAGGGCAAAAACAAGGAGAAAGCATTTTACTTTTGGGAAAGGACAGAGGGCGAAGAAGAAGGTTTGTTTTCCTACACCTCATCCCAGACACCTGACCACCTTCCTTCTCCTTCCTCCCCCGCTCCCACCCTGCCTTCTCCTCTTCCCTTCAGTCTCCACCTTTTTCTTTAAAGAATTGCATCAGGTGTTACAGAAGGTTCTCAGTCGTTCTGATAGTTTGACGTTGTCGACATATTTCATCAATTAGTGCAACAGTACGTCCCCAGATGTCACGTCCAAATAAAGCTTGCTGTATTGTCAAAACTTAATACACCCCCCCCCCACCCCCCACCCCCCAAAAAAAAAATCCAAATGGCTGCAGGCTGAATCATGAATCCTAACTAGCGTGTCTTGGTGGTTGTGAACAGAGCTCTATGGTTTGGAAAGAGGTGGAAACTTAAAGAACAACCATGTTGAACTGTGAAGTTACCACCTCTGGACAAAAAAAATGGAAGCATAGACATGATAGAATAGACTTTCCCCTGTTTGATGGCGAGCTGGTGGGGTAGCCGATGAAGATTGGCGATGTATGTCGCCAAGTACAGGTAAGACATTGAAAAGATTGTGAGTTATCTGGCAGTGTCCTTCAGTGACTTGGCTTGGCCAATCTTTCCCCTCAACGGCCTTTCCCATTCTGATTTTTTATGCTTTTTTTCTCCAAAAGTACAAAAGTATCGTCATCACCTTTTTTTAACATCTTATATACAGGTTTTAATCTATTACTCAACTGTGTTAATGTTGTTTTTAAACTCTCTTGCTTTTCTTTATTTGCTCCCATTTTTTCACAGGTTCTTGGATTTCTCCCTCCTCGGTTAGCTGGAACACAGGCGGAGGGAGGGCCATAGGTTCTCGTCCTACTTTTTTCTGCTTTTCGTAAAGTTTCACCCAACCACATCACCCTGACAAAAATGAACATTTAAAACCAGTGAACCCAGACACACACACGTGCATTCACTTTCTCACACACACGCACACACACACACACAAACATACGTATACCAAGCGCACATGTAGCCAACAGGGAGCATCTGAGGTGTTGTGGTCATTGCACAGGTAATAAATATTCACATTCAGAGAAGTCAGAGCTAGTTCAGGTGTGTGTGTGTGTTTAGGTAGAATGCCCTCTTATGTCTCCATGTACAGTTAGGCTGTAGATGAACCACTACTGCTGCGTTCAACACAACTCCGGTCTGACATTCTCAACCTCCGGATGAGAAAGGTAAAGAAAGACAGGATTTGATGAAATTTGGCTTAAAATCTCACTCTCACATGTCTTCTTTGGGGGTGAGAAACTAAACCTCTTGAACGCTTAAAGCCCTCTCATAATGTTTGGCGCTTTATGATGATGTCATCACAATAAGGCAGGAGAGGGAGGTCCTTTAGGGCACATGGCGGGCCAGTAGCCATGACAATGGGCAGTTGCAGTGAGACAGTGCGATGTGAGGAGGAGGTTGTCTGGATGGGTAAGTCTTTATGACAGTAAGTATCATTAATATCAACCCCTCTGCTGACGCGGGCTCAGTAAAACCAGCACCCAGCGGCGTGTATGGTCACCGTGTGCACTTCAGGACCCCCTCTCGAGTTAACACCACTCCCCATTGGCCAATATTCCGTTTCATACAACAGCTGTTGCACTCACACTTCAGGAAGTCAGAGAGCGTGTTTCCTCACCTAAAAAAGGCAAAATGGCACTCGCCCCATTTCCTCTCTAGATCAGTATTTTATCTCTCTCTGCTTTGGAAATAAAACACAGCCTCCCCGTCATCCTGAGCTCATTCAACCATCATCACACCAAAAAAAACAGAAAAAAATAACCAAAGCAACAAGACAATACCTAAAAAAAAATACTTTTTCTTTAAAAAAATAAAAAATATTCAGGACTATCAGCTCTTCTTTTCTTTTTTTTTCTTCTTATATAAAACACCAGCAAGCAAAAGAAAGTTAGGAATACTGAGGTAACTTTACCCTGAGGTAGGTTTTTTCTTTTTCATTTCATCTCTAATCTTTTCTAATCTTGGCAAGAGCGTCCCGGCGTAGACCCCGCCCCTCATCAACATACACAGACAGGGTCTGGAGGCTCCGCCCACAGGCCTTTGGCAGATTGGGAGAGAGAACGAGGAAGCCGCTTCCCTTCAGTCTGATTTTACCTTCTCTGAGCTCAAGGCAAGGAGCTTTGGAAGACTTTGCCTTTTTGGTTCCTGCGCTCGGCCAAGGCCAGTCTTAAAACATTTTTTATTAATACAAGCACTAGATGTGCAAATGAACAATGCAGGGATGGTCTTAAGGACCCCAGCTCCTCTGAGGAGAAAGCCATCCTGTCAAAGACTGGCCTTGAAGGCAATGAGCAGAACGTCTCAGACACACCTTGTCTGTCTGTCATTGCAGGACTTATTGATGCAGGTGCAGCAAAACCTCACACCCAACTCGCTGCCTTCAATACATTCACTGGAGGGGCCGGGCTAACTCACATATCATATATATAATATATATAAAATATGCCGTTTAAGGTGCGGGCCGCTAGCCAGCTAGCATAGCTGCTGGCTGTTTTTATAATGGTTTCAGATGTGTGAGCTAAGTCGCTGCAATAGAACTGCAGGACCAGCTGCGACCTCCGCTCCTCTTACTGTCTCTTGCTGCGCCTTCCGCCACACGGCTAAATGTGGAAGGGGGAGCTCAGTGGCTCCCCAGCCCCGGCCTTGTTGTAGGTTACATTATGCTACATATCATAGACAAGGGACTGGGAAATATACAGGAGACCCCTTTTTTAAAAAAGGCAAGGCGGCCAGACACAGCATTTGTTAACATTTACATGAAGATTATATATTTACAACCTCATATTCTCTCCATTTTCTCCTTTTTTTTCCATCTAAACTCTCCGCTATTCAGAGAGGTCTTTAAAGAGCAGTGTTAACATCTGCGGCCCCTCTTCTAGACTCTCATTGGCTAGGAGGTTAGGGTGTGGCTAAAGCCAGACCTGTGGCCTATCCCCCAGTGCCGCTGCAGCAGTTTCCTTGCTCCCTCTCCCGGATCTGCCTCACTGCATTCTATCAATAATAGCTCTGAATAAAACATTTCTATACATATATCTCTATGTTTAAAAAAACCACCCTTAAAATATAGGACTGACCGCAGATGGTTGGAGAGGTCTCTAGGGGGTGACAGAGGAACAGACAGGCCCCTGCTAGTGTGTCTTAGAAAACAAGGATCTGTCCAGCCAGCCTCTGAACCCATGTGGACAGGTGTAAACAACAACAGTCGTTACAAGGAGGGTAAAGTCGGCCGTTTTGTTTAAACCTGTCGGATGCAGGATCTGTTAGAGCTGTAGCAGATGAGGAGCTGGCTGCAGCCCCACAAAGGCACGCTAGGAGGTGACCGCCCCTCCCTCTCTCCATCCCTCCTTTCCTTCATCCCTCCATCCTCAATCAGTCTCTCTTCTGGCCTGGCATCTGGTTTCTTTTTATCTCAATCCTCTTTTTTTTTTATTAATTTCATCTTTCGATTTTAATAATCTTCTGTCATCTTTCTCTCTGGCTATCGGGCGTACTCCCTCCCTCTTTATATGTCTCCCTGTCTATCGCTGGGTCCGTGTGTCGCTCTCCTGTATCTGTCCATCCGTCTGTCTATCCGTCTGTGCATGTGTCTGTCTGTCTGTCCGTCAGGCGGGGGGTGGGGGGGTGGGGGGGCCCACGGTAGATGAGGAGGGTGCGGGGACCCTCACTTCCTGCGCGGCTGGTGTTCCTGAGTCAGTCCCTGGGTAGGGCTGCCCATCTCTGTGAAGCCCTGGGGGTTAGGGCCGGAGCCCATGCCGCCTTTCTGTGGCTGTTTGACCTGGGTCAGAATGTCCCGGATCTTCCTCTGAGCCAACTGGATGACAGAGGAGAGATGAGAATGGTTTGGATCAATTTGAAAGCTGCGCTAGTCCAACATATGAATGTTATGTAGCCTGTCCGAGCCCCAAACAGTTGGTGAACATAGTGCAGCCTATGGCCAGATTTTTTTCTCAAGAGTTGTTGGAGACCAAACCAGAACTAAAAGGAGAGTGAATATTGGACTATTGTTGGGTGGACAAAAACAGGACTCAGAATGCTAATGTAGCTCTGTTGCAAACAATAGGACTTTACTCTCTGTTTTGCAGTCTTTTGGAACAAAATATCTTGGGCCACCTCACGACTTAAGTCAAAACATCACAGGTACACAGGAACATCATAAGTTCTTGGCTCAAACAGCCACATGCTCCACATGGGCATAGCATCGCAACGTAAGCAGACTTCTTGATTACTAGAAGTGACTTATTTAAACAGTCCTACTATAGGAATGATTCTGTCCCAAGCTTTTTGAGTTGATCACTGCATAAGTGAAGATATACAGTAATTGAGTATCATCTACATAAAAATGTAATAATGCTCTGTGCCTACTCATTATGGGACAAAGGAGAGGCACATAAATAAGAGAAAGGAACAGGACCCAGAAATCGACACGAGTTACACCACAAGTCGTTTTTTTTGGTAGCTATGCTAGCGGGGGCTGGGCATAATTACAGGAGTTGGCCTTTATGGCTAGATTAGCAAGCGTAGTCTGTTGTATTAAGAATTAACAAAAAAAATTTAAACCGTAAAAATTAAACTGTATTTTACATTGTTAAGTTTTGTTTTATTTGGTATGTTACAGTTACTGGTGTTGCTTGGTAACTTTGGCTTACTGTGGCATTTCAGAGTTATTTGCCACTAATGAGTTCATAGGTTTGTTACTAAACTACTGTTTTTAAGATATGATTATGTATTTGGTTCAATAATTTATGGCACTTTAGCTACATGCTAAAGGTACATTATGTTAAAGCGTAATGTGGCAACAGAGTAGCAGGAGTACCTGGCTGGCGTAGAAATGTCCATTGATCTTGACAATGACCTGGTCATTTTCATCAGGTGTCTGTTCCCTGGGGACCACCACCTCAGCTGCTGTAAGGTTCTGCAGCTCATTCACCTGGAGACACAAGTGTTGGTTACTTCAGGAGAAAGTAATGACCTTATGGCAGGACGTTGTAGGTTTGACGGCAAAATGTGGAGGTTAGTTTACAAATTTGACAGCTAAGTGTTAAAGACCCTTCAGTGGGCAGGAATTTTGCTGTGGTAACCAATGCATGCCTAAGCAAGGAAGGACCTGAGGCAAGGTTCAAGTGGCTTACCGTCTTGCCTCCTTTGCCAATGACTCTTCCTGCAGCTGCAGCGGCCATCTTGATGTGAGTCTCCAGTTTGACCTCCTCCTTTGGCCCAAAGAAATTCTCCTCCTTCAGTTTGCCATAGATTCTGCCCTGAGCCTGCAGGGGGGAGACAAAAGCAGTTTTAATATTGCCTCACCAGCAGTTTGATACACCAAATAAGATACTACGCAAAATAAATGGTATTAACATTTAGCAGCTGGAAAGGTCTTGTGAGTGTTTACCTTAAACTGAGCCTCAGGGGGACCTGTCACAATCACCATCCTCATTTTAGAGTCTGGAGTTTCAGCTGGGGCGATCTGGAGGAAAGGAAACACACATCATTGACCTTCAATGGTTTAGGTTTGGTTTCAGAAGTCGGGGTTGTAGGGGGCGCCTAGGTTAGATTAATTGCCTGAGACCTGAATGCATAATGTTATATTTACACCTTTGCTGCCTTATCTTTGACTAATTTATGCATTAAAAATGTGTGATTAAAATTATACATTTTAAACTGCAAATTCTAATAGAAATTAAATGGGGGGTTTTTCCCTTAAAAACATGCAGAGGTCTCTGTAGTTTTCTTTCAGCCCTGAGTAGTATCTGCAGAGCTTCTTCTCAGCATAGTGTAGTCTGTTATTGTGATATGTTTCCCTAATTAGTATGTAGCATGTCTGATCATTTTGTAAATTGCAGACCTTGATGGAGGCCCCAGCGAAGCGGCTCAGCTGTTTGATGTGCTGTCCTTTCTTTCCAATGATGGCTCCCACTGCCTGTGCTGGGATGTAAACATGGACAGTCTCCTGCTCTGGAGCCTGAAAACACACAAAGACAACATTTAATTTCATAAACTGAATATCTATTACGGGTCTAATATATAGTTACTAGGGGTTTTGGTCAGAATTCCCCTCCAGTCAAAAGTGTGCTTTGCTTCTTCTTCCTTCACTGTGCAGAAAGATGTGTGTGCAGAGTTAGTTTTCACATTGATCTGCTGAAGGAGGGAAAGTTTCTCTGAGCTCACCTTAAATCTCAGTTCAACACCTGCACGTACCAGCAGGATTGATGACATCACAGCTAGTTTAGAAGCTAACCATGGGCCAGTACGCATCTTAAACAAGTGTCGCGTGGAAACTCTAGCACACATGTACTGTGTATGGACTTATGGTGAAGTTAATCAAGGAACAGAACAGAGGGCACCATAATCTTCTGTCCCCTCAGTACTCATTTCAGGGGGGAAAAAACTTTTTATTAATAAAAAAATATAAATTTTAATTTGGTCGCCACACATTTGTCTGTTGATCAGAGGCTTATGAAAGTTGAAAGCCGTAACTTTTAAAAGTTATGAGGTTTGAAAGGACAAAGTCAGTGCATTAAAGTAAGTGGTTTGCACTGACGTCTCTCTCTGGGAATTTTCGGTGCAGGTATTCTTACCCCAAAGCAACCATAGGGGGCACCAGCGGCTGCGTTTCCGGGCGGGGGTGGGGGCATGTTGGAGGAGGAGGGGAAGAGGCCCAGCGCACCCAGGTTGAGCCCGGGGATCAAGTGGGTCTGTTGCTGTACAGAAGAAAACTGCAGGTTAGAAACCATCTGGAGTTTTGCGTGTGCGTGTGCATGTTGGAACATAAAGCTCATGTGTGTTGGAAAGTGTTATGGACAAAGTCAGATATTTTGGTTTTTCGTAAGAGTATTGTGCCTTAAAAAAATTCACAAATAATTATTAGGCAAATAAATAAGTGTAAAATATGAGCATGAACCCATAATAAATCAACCAACAAGCTGCTGCTGAAAAATATGTATAGTATGTATAGTAGTTGTATAGACATGCTACCTACCGAGCCAGCTAACTAGCTAGAATATCTTATCAGCTTGGAGTATTACTGTCGTCCATTTGAAGAGCAGTGACCACGACAGCTCCATCGCCATGATGAGCGACATAATGAAATAAAAACATCTCCATCTTTTCAACCCTGACTGAATGACCATTTGTACTACACCTAATATATATATATGACTGCTCTACTTAACTAGTTACTTTGCAGAATAAGAGCTTAACAGAAAAACAAAATACTCATCACATGAGGGCCCTGTTTACTCAGCCCCCTTTGTATTCCCAGTCCTACACCTGTTAGTGAGTGCGCGTGTGTTTATGCAGACTCACATTCATAGCAGCAATGTCGTTCTCATAGGCCTCTCTGACCTTCTTCATGACCTCCACCTCGGCCAGACAGCAGGCTTCAATAGCGCCTTTGATTGTGATGGTTCTCTCTGGATTGTACAGTGTCAGGTCCTGAAGACTGGACACATTACAAGGGGAGTGGTTACTGATATAGCTGATCAGTGATCAGTTTACTACAAAGTTACTTATCAGCTGCTATAAAGCTTTTATGATGCATATATGTTATGTCCGTATGTGACCCTGATTCACAGGGTTGAATTAGGTCTTTGACACTTACAATGAGAGAGCTCAGTGTGTGTGTGTGTGTGTCTTACGGGGAGATGGTGATCTTGGTGTCTGTGTCCTGTTCAACTTTTTTCAGGTTGCGTCCCTCCTTCCCAATCAGGCGTCCAACAAAGTTGTTGTGAGCCAGAATCTTTAGAGGAACCTCATCAGCACTGCAAACAGAAAAAACACTGGTCATTTACAATGAACATTTTTATCTACAAAAAAAATATTTAACTATTTTACTGCTGGACACAGACTTTATATTACAGTAACTGTCCAGGATTATGTTACGCCGCCTCATTTGAATACACCACGCTGGATTGTTGTTTCAAACCTACGTCTTTGTGTCTTTAGCCTCCTGGTGCATAATGTCCAGGATCATGCGGCAGGCGGATGAGCAGCCCTCAGGGGTGGAGTGGATGCTGATCGGCTTCTCAGCAGCACCTGCATTCTCCTTGCGATGCACGTCAATCCTGCAGCAACAGAAAAAGACCAGAATCTCTTTGTTAAGTTTCTAGTCTCTGTGCGTCCCGGGTTCGGTGCAGAAGTTATTATGGTAAAAGGGTCTAACACATGGCTGTAGTATACACATAAATGTGCAGATCAAGTGTCGTGCAATATATTTTATATATATATATACCCTCTAAAGAAAATATGACATGTGTTTTAGGGAAACCTGAATTCAATCCCACACAGAGAAATCAGTTTTGGTTTCTATCAAGGAAACATTTGAAAACAAAGCAGGGCGTGGTCACTCTCTTGTGAATCTGGAATCTGCCAATATTAGAATATTATCAGAGTGCCAGCTATTTTGATATTTCTAAGAAAAAACTTCTTGTGACATAATTGATTGAGTGTGGCTGTGCAGTGCTGTATTTTGGTATTCTATTGTTTAATTTAAAGGACATCTTTTGTGTTTGTATTTAAAGTGTTAGGTGTAGGTAATGCAGTATGAAGAGGTGGACTGATAATCAGGAGCATCGGGAGAAATCCCGGTGGGCTGGTACTGTTTTGGATAAAATTGCTTTGTGCTTATGTTATTGAGCCTTAGGGGAGCTGATGATGAATACATGAATTGATGAAGTTAACATGGCCAGGGCAAAATTGATCAGTAAACTTAATTAGGAGTGGGTAACTGGCGTGGCATTGATTGCCCCCGAACAATCAATGACACAGTTTTTTGCAACAAGCTTCAGTAATCCAAGTTTGGAAGCTTTTATTTCTATTTGCATGTATTCATTCTTAATGTCGTTTCCTGCTTCCACAAAGAGTGATAGTCAGCTGAGACAAGGACAGAAGTAGGTTTGAAGTTTGAAGTGTCTTTTCAGAAACCAGGGACCTTTATTTGGCAAGGAACGACACTTTGAGAGGGTCTCTGCAGAAACCACTGTAACAGGGAACACGCAGCTTTGCACCATTGATGTTTCTTTCAGAACCACCAATTTTAGCAATAATATAAATCAGTCAAACTTTGATCGTTCTTAGACAGGCATTGCGCATGACTCAAGGACTTGATCTTTTAGTCTGAATCCACTTTAGTTGTTTCGGTGTATTTCTTAAGACTGGGTGACATTACAGAAATACATTTTCCCACACCTATAATAGACATAAAGAAGATTCCATGTTCTTCAGGGAGAGGTGACCACAGCCACAGAGGGCTTTTTGTAGGGAGTCAAATTTCATACTATTTTAATTTGCATATACAGTCATTTTTTAAAGACGAGAAAAAGGTTATTTAAAGTCTACTATATAATTGGCATAATGGAAAATAGTCTACCATAAAGCTGTGGCATCATATTTTAAGTTTAAGTTTTAGTTTTTTGCCCATACACATAAAAATGTAGCAAATTCTATTGATATTTACCCTTATCTAAAACTTGAAACCACGACTGTCAGGAAAACTAAATTCTGCTCTTACTGCTCCAGTGACGTAGCACGGTCGTCGCAGTAATCCTCAAAGTCAGTGTAGGACACTCCATAAATGATTCTCAGTCCTACTCTGTGGAAGGAGTGTCTTTCCTCCTAGGCAACCCCTAAGAGTGGTTCTGAGATGTTTGATAAATACAGGTCCAGAGTGTTTTTAATGAGTGTATTTCCTCCTCAGCAGCCTTTTCCCAGTTGAGGCGGACCACTGCATTACTGAAGACTCTAAGATTGTGTGTGTGTCGATACACATGTTACTGAAAGTGATACACTAATCTTGGTTTCATTGACTAAAAAAAACACCACATGTACACACAGATGAAGCAGGCACTCACTTGCTCTGCGTCTGCTTGGTGATGTTGCGAATGGTGGCTCCCTCCTTGCCGATGATGGCCCCGACGTACTGCGTTGGTACCAGCAGTCTCAGAGGGATGTCGGCGTGCGGAGGTTTGGAGTGCATCCCAGAGCTCGGGGACCCACCGCGGGGACCGCCTCTGGGCCCGTAACCAGGGCGCCGGCCGTTATCGGGGCCTCGCTGGCCTCCCTCCAGCTCGGTGTTCTCGTCTGGGATGTAGGAGACGCGCAGGGCGTTGTTCTCAAACTGGTATCCATTCAGCTTCTGGATGGCTCTGAGAGGGACACAGCACATGAGCAGAGGGTCACGTACAGCACTTGGCATGTGAGGCGTGCAAGCAGCATCCCTTTAGATATAGATAGATAGATATATCTCCCATATACAACCATTTGAAAACAAACAAATGGCTCATTTCTTATTATTGCTATGATAGTGGTTGAATGAAACTAAGGGCATTTACTCAAGTACTGTGCAAGTTTGATGCACTTGTATTTACAGGCAAATATTGTGATCACCACGACGTTTTCTCTGGCAGCTATAGTAACTAGTTGCTTTGACAAGCTAAAGATTTTTATACCAAAGATATAATCAGCTGATAAAATACGATGCATTGGTATAGAGTCAACTACCCACCAGTACATAAAGTTGTTAGAATTTGCTCCAAAACAACCAACTACAACAATAAAATGCTGCTAACACATTACTGCATCAGTCATGGAATAAAACAGTACTTTTACTTTGATACTTTGCTGTTAATACGTTTGTACTTCTACTTCTAGTTTATTAAGTATTTTTATAGTGTGGTAATGCAACCTTAACTAAAGAAAGAGATTGCAATACTTGCTCCACTAGTTTCACGTTGCAGTTCCTTTAAATGTACGCTAGGTGTCACAAGTGGAGCGTATAAAACGTGCTGAAAACGTCCTCACAGTTTGATTTAGATACTTTATACTTTAGATACTCTAGAAATTATATTGTTATAATTATTAATAATATTATAATTATTATTATATTGGAACTTCAGTTAATGGATTATACCTTTTTAAAAAGTGCATTTAGTCCGATTTCTCGAAGAGGCAAAAGAATCCACAAACAGGTAAATACACAAATATACTGTATCTCTTTATTCTGCAAAATATCAACTAAGGACACATTTTTAAAAGGCACCAAGAACAAACGGCGGCTTTTAGAGAGATTAAAAAAAGAGACAGTGTGATATTGAGCAGGATATTAAAGGGAAGGAGGAACTTACTGCCTGGCATGCTCCCGGGATGCATATGTGACATTAACCACTGCAGTCTCACTGTCTGTATTCACTGAGAGAGAAAGGAAAAGGAGAGACTCTTAAAATACATTATGTTGGTTTATTAATGGGTCAAAAATGATGCATCAAACACAGAGTGAAATCACAGCTTTGGGCCACTCTGTAAACAGCAAGTAAAGCCCAGAGTTCACTTGCAGTAATAATATTAATAATAATAATAATAAAATGCTGTGTATTAGTAATTTAAGTCTTTATTTAATTGAATCATTAAAGATTTCCCCTCTGGGATCAATAAAGTATTCTGATTATTATAAGAAGTAGTTGTTATTGGTAGCAATAGTATTGTGTTGTCAGTGCAGCAGTCTTCTCAAAGATTTCTGAATCGATAGACAGCGTAGTGCAGTCTCTAATTGAATCAGTGATTAATAACTATCCATATATCCATCTGAAGGATCCAGTACTTCAGCTCATTCTGCTTCCTCCCATCCTCGCTCCTCCCATCTCCAGCCTGAGATCCGGAAATCGACCGAGGTCAGCCATCACATCCCTGAGGGAGTTCTAAATCCCTTAAATGTGTCATGAAGGAGGTAAGGAGTGAGGCTTTCAGAGGAACCACAGGTGTATCCTACACAGAAGTCTTTTACAGGACAGCAACACCCATCAGAATCTGTTAAGTGATTAGCCAGCACATCTGATGAGACAGTGATATTAATATAACTGCATGACTGCAATAAGGTAGATTTGGGAAACCCGGGGAAACAGCACCAAGAAAGTGTGTAATCCAAATTATGAACACATCATAAAACACTTGCTACTTTGTCTCCTTTATCTTCCAAACGGCCTTTTCTTTTCTTCCTTTTTTTAAAAGCTAAAATAATTTATCAACTTATTGATTAGCTCATGGACAGAAAGATAATGTGCAACTATTTGGATCATCAATAAATCATTAATGATTTTTCAAGCCAAGATGCCAAATTTGCCCTAGTTCCTGCTTCTATATTATGCTGATTTGCTGCTTTTCTTTGTCTTATATGATATTAAACTGAGTCTCTCTGAGTTTTGGACTGTTGGACAAAATAAGACATTTGATTCACAATATTATGAAGTTAAACAGACTAAATGATTAATCGACTAATTGAGAAAATAATCAGCAGATTAATCACTAATGAAAATAATCGTTAGTTTCAGCCCTACATTTCTTAAATGTTTTCGTTCCAATTTAGCTGCACAGTAACACCTATTATCAGTGCTGTAATATTCCATTCTGTGACGTTCCAATACATCACATCTCTTCCTCACACCTCGAGGAGCCAGCCCAGTGCCACAATATACAATATGGCATGAATGGGAATGTCTTTATCTTTACTTGCCTGTGCTGTTCCTGCTCCTGCTTTTAATGTAAAAATGACCATACATGGCAGATGGACTTGAAGATAAATGTGGGTAAAACTCAAGAGTCTTACCTTGCTCACAGTTCTCTACGGTTCCACACTGGGCCAGCAGCCCATCCAGCACCTGACACAGAAAGAGAGAGAGAGAAGAACACTCAGTCAATTCAGAATATAACTAAGCCTAAAAAGGAACAAGAAAAGACACATGAACTTGGCAACATGATTAGTATCATTGTTTGTTGCACCAATGCAGTAAGGATAGGGAGGAAGAAAGCCCACGGAGACTGCAGGGCCCAGATTGTCATGCTATTCCCCTGAGAAGCAAAGTGGAGCTGCAGTCAGATTCTAGGCTCCAGAAATCAAAGGCCTAAGAATCACACTTCAGGATTTGCTAAAGGGCCAACTTTAAGGGTAAAACGTTATTTGTGTAACGTTATTTAGACTTTAAGCCGTTATTTCAATAAGTCACATTCATCAAGCAACGTACACCTACTTATCAATCATCACATGTATGCTCAGAGTAAGAACAGCAAATCAGAGACAAGGAATTAACCTACTATGCGCTTTATTGGTAATTCTTTAGAAAAGGTTTATTCAGTAATGCGTCGTGCTACAAAAAATTGAATTAATTTTGAAGTAAATTGCATTTTGTACTGTGACTCCAAAACACAAAATCTTGGGTCTACTCTTAACCAACTTCAGAGAGCCCAAAATGTAACTCTTCGCAGGTGGACAAACGGCTCAGGTTCTTCGGTTTAGCTACAACAGGCTGGTTTCTGACAGGAAGATTCCAACTTTAAAAGAGGTTACTGCTTATATATTACCACTACGCATATGTCTTGCTTGGCACCTGTTTGTTTTATATACTGGGGGATAAAGACGGTGTGTTGTCAAATGTACTTGACCTAATTAGGAATTTAACATCTACACATTACAATTAGTTTTTTTATTCCTGATCAAATTACCACCTTTACTTCTTCTACCTAACATGCTTTTATTTTGAAGAATATTTCTATGCCCCTCCCAGGGGGCAGCACTTCTATCTTGCATGATCTTTCATTTATTCTCAGGATTATTTTCAGAAGCAGGAAAATGACATGTTTCAGTCCATTTTTGCGGAGAGACGTCGCCCTCATGTGGATACACTCTGCAGGATCAGAGCAGCGTGGAGACGGAGGAAGAGAGGGAGAGGATCTGGCACTTATTCAACTGGCGCACACACACAGCCACTCCCACAGGCCATGCTTGCCAGAGGAGGCATGCAGTGTGCCACACCCTCACAAAAACATTAAAACAGTACACACAAGAACAGCTACACTGAACTGAGAAGCCAATGCTGAAGTGCCTTGAGCCTGCACTCTCTCTAAGTCTTTGACAAAAGGACACTAATTCTCATTTGATTTCTTACCTCAGTAAACACCTTCCTAAAAAATGTACGGTTTCAATCTCTTGTTTCAAGTCTTCTTCAATCCGGCATGATGTTCATTTAGTAAATTAACCCATTTCAAGGAAAGATTGTAAGATTATAAAGCGGGGGGGGGGGTTTGGAACGTGCTTTAGAACGTGTATACCATGTGATTGACAGGTCAATGCCACAGCGACCTGTCAATCAGGACAGATGCGAATCATATCCACTGCACTGTGTACCTTTAACAAGCCGTGAACTTGTTTTTGAGTGCTGTCTGTGTTTTCATCTAAGAACTTCACAGTGTGTTTCCACTTCATGAAAGGTAATTTTGGTTATTAGCTAACTGTGGCTTTTTCGCCTAAAAATGTATTGTTCAGCATCAGTTGTACTAAAAGACACTTTAAGGAGGTCAGGTGTTCCTTCTGTATGCTCGCCAAAATTGATATCACAGTTAACGTGAGCTACAAATGCACCTTACTAACCAAGCTAGCTAGCTCCACCCTCTCATCCGAATACGGCCACTACGGGTTCCACGGCCAAAATGCCAAAGGTCCACAAACCAATGGGTGACATCACAGTGGCTGCGTCCACTTCTTTTACATGGTCTATGAGCTACACACACACACAAACACACACCACGTGTATGGAGCATATTGATCCTCCCACATTGCCATCTTCTGCATTCAGTCTTGTTTGATGAATCAACTGATTAAAGATGAAGTGAACAGATTCAGCAGAGATACGAGAGGAGCCAGTGAGAGGATAAAAAGAGAGATTTGCTGCTCTAAACACCAGATGTCTCAAAGCACTTATGCAACTTTAACAGTCTTCAGAAATGATATTTTTGGAGACATTCTGGGGGGTCCACAGTGTTACAGTATTTTCATAGTGCTTTTTGTGTTTTGTCAGCAAGAAAACAGGTGTATGTGTTCAATTTTGGATGGGCTATTTTCCTTTTTTAGTCTAACCCTGATTCTCTTTACATTTTGAAGTTTAAAAAGTATAGATTGGGACTTTAAACGTCCCCATTATCCTCAGAACTTCTGTCTTTTGACAATACTTGCTGTGGTGCATAGTAAATTGAAAGTAGAAAAGCAGTTCAGATGATAGATATTTAATTAGAGACACAATACAAATGCTGCAGCTCCTCGTGTTACAGAGTTTATACATACATTCATACTCAGGGGGCGGGAATGTGAATTTTGGTTGGTACAATATTTCAGCGCTATACATTCAGTATTGAAATATCACAAAAGGGATCCAGAAGTAGTTAAATGTCACTATTAGGTATTCAGTTGATTATGAGTCAAATTCTTATGATCTTTCTTTGCTTCCATATCTATAGTGCTGTTTTGGCTGTGCATAATGCTGCTATATAAGATGTACTGTGTGCATAGAGTGCATGTATGCAGGCTCAGATGCAGAATTCATGTTGCTCATATCTCTTTTGTTTTATTGTTTTGTGAGTGTATACTGTAAAACACAGCATTTGTATGAAATTGTGTTGTACAGTTGTTCCATTCAGCTTCTTGGCGTTAAATGTTACTGGAGTTGATATTAGGCACCTAGTTCACGTGACAACATAATTCCAATACATGAGCATGTTTGTTTCCCAGTTTTGAGTCCTATCCATATTCGAGACATGGAAAATGAGAATCTAGGCTATTGGTATCCCTGTGTACAAAATATTAACAGTATCCAGGTTTCTGACCGCCTGCAGTTGTGACTTGATTTTTCAACATCTCAGTCACCATGTCTTGTACCAACAAAGAACAATCATTAACCTGGATCAGGTCTTTACAAGTCACAGTGTTCTGGTTTCTATCTATCCAGGTAGCATATCCAGGTTTCTTCAAACCAGCCTGATCAGCCTTTCTGATGTTTATACGTGAAAGGCATAACCAGAATACTTCTAAACCACAATCATAACCAGGATACTAATGCAGATGTAAACTTTCTTCCTGACAATTAGTTACTGTTCAACTCTAATCTCTGGGCTCCCATTACAACTGAAAATCATTCACTTCCACACAAAGCTTTGAGCACTCAGGTTTAAGCAAATAAATACTCACCTAGATTTGTGGTTTCCAGCCCCTGAGTGAAAGTCAGCCCACAGAGGTAAAGAAAAATATGACCCATAAATAGCACCCCCACACACACGCACGCACGCAACCACACTTCAAGTGATGCAAATATTTGCAGTGAGGCCAGTCTGGGTATTACAAGATTTAACATTCACACCTCCTAGTATCAGAGATACTGGCCCAGATTCTCAGAGTGGAGGGGGCAGCTGGCAATCTATCAGAGCCAGTTCAGTTCCTGCAACAGAGAAACACCGCCCAGTGCAGGTGTGCGTGGCCGCACATCTCACATTTTTGGCCACCATTCCGATACTGATGCTGCGGGGACTCGTGCTTTGTGCTGCAAGTCAGCCTCCATAAGGCTTTTTCTTGCTTTCTTTATTCCGCCATGAAGACTCTGACTATCACTTAAACATCTGATGTCTGACTTTCACAACTCAGTGCAGAAAGCTGTTTTGTTCTCGATTATCTTAAGTGGGATTAAGACTCTTTACAAAACTACACATTAAAGCTGCTCAGGCCAATTAATTCCAAAAGAACACTTGTGGCTTTTGGAAGAACTTTAATCATTTCAGAACTGTGTGAAAAGTGAAGCAACGCCAGTATTAAATGAAAATTAAAGTGCTTACAAGGTGCTGCCTGACCACGTTTGACAACAAAAGTGTGTGTTGTTCCAAATGGTCTAGCTAGAAAGCGGCATGTACAAGTGTGAATAAATGCAACATAAATGGTGAGATGCAGCCCCTGATGTCAAAACGCAAAAAGCAGTTCTGATCATGTTTACCGGCCATTTAAAGCTCACTCCAGAACATTGTAACGAGCCCAGCTCTTTTTTGTGACATGTCCAAAAATGATATACCCAAAATAAAATGGTTAATAAAATGCATACACTACTCAGAATAGTCAGAAAAGGCCTTCTGAACTATTTGTGAATACGCAAAAAAACAACCTCAGTTGCCAGTGGGGAAACCTGATTTGCTGCACATTGTTGGGCTCGTAATGTTATTGGCTAAGATAACATTACTCCCCCCTACCACAGCCTGGGTGTGGCTGGGTATGGACAGGGGAGAAGTTAGAATTGACCTGTTGGGTTTTAGCTCACATTGGAGCCTTTTATTTAGCTTTACTGTATTCACAGACGCTAGTATGTAGGCTTCTTTTTGCTGTTCTTGTTTTGAGTCTGCACTCATTGAGCGGAAGAAACTCAGTTTACAAAATACTATGTTGTGGGTGGGAGAGATGTGTTGAGGTGGCTGGCAGCGCGAAGTCAAAGTATGTTACTGTGTAAATGATCCCAGCAAGAAAAATAATAGAGGAACTGACCTCCCACTGCAGGTGAGGTGGAATGTTTCTGATCTGCAGTTTCCTGGTCCTGTGGAGACAAAGAGAAAGGAGAGGATATTAGCAAGTTACACAAACCTGACAGTAAACAGTAACAGAAGGGTCTCAAACTTTTGATAAATAAATAAATACGCCTTGTGATGTAAATAATTAAGACGAAACGTGTGCGTGTGTGTTTAAACTGGACGCTGATGACAGGTCTGACTGTGTTAGGCTGAGGGTTCGGGGATGAGAGCAAGTGAAAAGAAGAAGAGGCCACTGAATGGCACCCGAACGTGATGTGCGAGACAAACAGGTGGTGACAGGAAGAGAGTCTGTTTGAAGTGACTTCCTTTGATACAAAAACAAAATCAAAACAGTGCACTAACACTCCATCTATCAACTCCGACTGGTTGAGCTCACACACACACACACACACACACACACACACACAGGTCCAGCCACATTTGACCTGGACACCATAATTCACACAGTCTGAAACTGTAGCTCCATACACATCATTGCTCAAATAACAGCATGCCAGCAAGTTGCTGTGCTTACACCATCGGTGCTACCATCTCTCTGGACCTAAATAAACTGCTGGAAACATCTTGTTCTTGACTGATTCTGACGTGACCACCAGAACATTTCTGTTGATAGGTGGGGGGACAGGAGGGCCCCACAATTTCCAACAGATTTATGTCTCTACTAGCAACACAACTACCTCCCCAACTGCTATGCCCCGAAAAATCACTGAGGCCCCATCCACACTACTCCGTTTTGGTTATTAAAACAGAGACCTCTTGCAAGCTTTGCTCCTCCCGTCCAGACTAAAACGGCGAGATTTTAGTGAAGACGGGCAAAAACACAGGACTTTAGAAACAATGATGCAGACACTCACTTTTGGCTCTCTGATTGGGTCGTATAAGTCAGAAAAAAGCAGAAACACGATGCTGCTGGCAGAGTTTTTGACTTGGTATTTTTATAAAAATATTTTTTTACCGTGCAAATAACACTTATAGCCTACACGTGTACTGCGCATGTCGCCGTATTAACTTTGCGACGACTCCCAGTCTGTTTTCTGCTGCCACACTCCCGTGTTACATTCAGTAACAGTCCCAGCTCGTTATTGATCCATGTAAAAAAAATATATATATATCTGGTGTAATTCTTTGTCTATATTTCTTTATTCTTTCGCCAGATCTTCTGTAACTACAGAATAGACTATCTGCTTCATGTTTGCCCCGTGTACCTGAACAGCCACTCAATGTTCAGCATTTTCAGACAGTATAGACGGAGATCAACTCTGATACGCAGCTAAAACACTGGTGTGGACAGAGTTTGTATTTGTTTTAAAACTCTGTTTTTAAACTAAAAACGGAGTAGTGTGGACGGCGCCTGAATCAACTGCAAGTAATGGGGCGGCTTCCTTCTCTACCACCCACACACACAGTGGGGGAAGGGTAGTCAGCTGAATAGAAGGGTGGCAGTCCTGTATGTGGTAGGGAAAGTGCATTTAATCCTGTATTTTTGCCAGTTTGTATCTTCTTTTTTTGTGTGTGTGTCTCTGTGAGCAGATTTGGTTATACGTGCTTGCTGTCATCACTGTAACCCTGTATGTGTGTATATTTTCTTGGCTGTGTCTTGTCCTTAGGTGCATCTGGGTGCTTGGAACAGAGCTGCAACTAAATGATTCTCAAGAATCTGACAATGTGTAATGGTTCTTAAAACCCATCTCTACGCTCTACTATTTTTCCATCCGTTGCATTAGTGCTGCACCTTTGACCTTTGGCCTTCTTACCCAAACTGATTGTATTGAAATGTAGAAACATTAAACAGTGCAGTCCATCTTTACAACCCATAACCATCTTTACTGCTCCTTATCCAACCCCTCACCCAACCGAACTGAGCATCAATGGCCGTAAAACCCACCAACCGCCAACCCCCATCTCCACCTCCCATATTAAAGCCCACCCAAACCCCCAGGAGGCTCCAGCACAGATGAATAGTCTTTTGTGCACTAGAATACCTGACACCCCCCACGCAAAAACATGGAAAAGCCCTTTGATCCTCGATCAATACTCAGCTATAATCACTAACTCCACCTCCAACCTGCAAACACGCATAAAAACAGAGCTCTTCACCACCCCTCCACATGCATAACATCCACCATACACATCAAAACCTTCATGACACCCAACACACTCACACCCATGCGAAGTTCCACCTTAACACATCAACTCCACATTATCCTCTCCAGTGCCCCAGTCCACCCCCACAAACACACACATCCCAACCCCCATCAAGCCACCAACAGTGAACTTGTTTGACCCCTACAGCCACCTCCTGCCATCCCATAGCCTATCCCATTGGCTGAAACCATGGCAACAGGTTAGGAATGGGTGGGCAAAGAAGATGGATGGGCGGGCGGGCAGACAACAAAACAACGTGCTTCACATTTGCTTACGTGTTCATTCACTCATCCGTTATCTTTTCATTTTAAACATCTTTGCCTTTTACCTACATGGACGTGATCGGCCTTGTTGGGTCTCCTGAGCTAAATGCTGAATAAACACATAAAATATAATAATACACTATTTCCAAAGAACATAACTGCATTCATTAACATACATATCATTGTTACAATCATAAACATCAGGTGTATTAGTAGTATATAATGCCTCATGGGAAAAGTGACTATCAATATGTTGAGTGAATTCCAAGCTTTAATTGTACATATACTTGAAAAATGACAATTCGGGTGAATGGAATTGTTAGTGAATAACATAATTGTACAAAAGCATCACTGAAACAAGAAAGAAATGTTCTCTGAGAACCTCATCCCTGACGCATTGTTGATATGCAAAGATGGAAACACATTGTCAATGAAGCTTAAAAATGTCTTAGGTCGAACGTAAAAACTGGAGCTGTTGAGGTTCCCTCAGCTGTGAAGGCATTAAATCCATGCTCAGCTCCAACCTCCAGCAGAACAAAGGGCCAGAGAGAAAGAGGAGAGGAAAAGAAAAGAAGCCAAGAGAATGAAAAGAGCATGGTCCTCAAGGAGGAGGTGGAGGAGAGGAAGAGGAGTGAGAGGCTTTGCTAGGCTTTTCTAGGAGGGGTTGAAGGCCAAAAGGTTAGAGCTCTTCAGACCAGACAGAGGGGGCCCTGGGACCACGGCGAGTCGCGTATGTGTGTGTGAAGGCGTTGTCCTACACTTTCATAGCCAAAAAATACAACAGAGTAAAGTACAATATGTGAATCCATAAGATTTTTTAAGAGTGAAATCAACATCTACATAACTTTCCTTCCAGCTCTTTGTACTGTAAAGGCAAACAAGTTTAAGTGTGTCCTTCTACATCAACACCTGCCCCTAAGTTTAGTCATGTCCACTGTCAGGGCGGTAACCCCAACAGGTCCCAACTCCTTTTAAGAAATTCACTCCTCTACCTAATGATCTGCAGAGGGATACAAACTCATTACTACAGTGACATAGAGATGTGGAGTTAATTGCTAATTATACTTCCAGATTAGGTTATACAGTAAGACTAATTGCACCTGCAACTGTAACTGACACAAGACACTGACACAGATTGTTGCACAATGACACCCGACGAGCGAGAACTTTCCCCTTCCCAGTGTTAACATGCCGACCCCTTTTTGTTTAGTTGAGAACTGCTGTCAGGTATTAACATGGCGTCCATGCTGCAGGCGATGTTGTTCTTTACTAACTGCTTTCAGGAGGTCTTGGTCAGTTCAGTTTTGGATATTTTCACATGCGAATATATATACACACACACATACATGTATATAGATCCTAATCCTTCAGTGTAGATAAAAACATGTAAATCTCCAAATTTTGAGATTTCACTGGACAGCGACAAACTCTATTCTTGTTCTAACTAATGGCAATAAAAAGATGAGTATTTCTGTTCGCTCAGCACTGTACGACCTCTGGCGACTTATTGATCATGTCGCCCACTACGAATGCAAGGAATGGCACTGGCACCAGCTTGCTGTGGTTTACGGGCTCTCCTATAAAACATCTCCATCCGTCCACTTGGTGTTGTGTAGCTTAATGAGTACAGTACCAACATGAACGTTTCTGGGAAACCATGTGCATGTGTTACGGCATGGTTTAGCAGTGCTTGTTTTAAGATGATTAAATCTGAGAAAGTCAGACAGAGACAGATTACGAGCTGAAAAGTCAATGAAAACTGTTCCCAGCAGTCTAGTGGGGCAGTACACACAGCCACACATTCATATAATAACACGCACACACACAATAACATGGGCATGATGCCGCTCAAAGCTACACAGTTTAATGTCATCCAAAGTTCAAATAGGACTATGAAATGGTGTGTGTGTGTGTGTGTGTGTGTGTGTGTGTGTGTGTGAGAAGGACTTTTCATTGCCAGAAAAAGGCATGTGTGACAGGTTTGACTGACAACTTTTCTAACAGAGCATATGCAACCCAGATGGCAGGTGTTGATTACTATTTTCATGTGCTAAATCTGCAGGTAAATATACAAACCTATTGAAGAGACATATTTGGAAAGCCCTTTGTGTGCAACAAAAAGTGGGGATGAGCGGGAGAATTTTCACAATGTAGCTTTTCGTTATTTTCACTTTAATAATTGCTTTATTGATTAAGAATTGTGAAATAAGGTAAAAGTCTGCTGCATACAATCAAAGACATGAGAAGAGGGCAACAGGAATCCACACACAGAGTTCACTTCAAGTCAACAGACATGAAGAGGATCCAGCTGGACAGCCTTACTGTCAGACACAAACACTCCCAGTAAAAGGAAAACAAAGCGCATACAAACTGTTCCAACACAAGTGCTTGTCGATACATCACAAAGCCTTTTATCCGCAGTTTCACTGCACCGAGCATTAGCTGCCGTCTGCAAGGGTCTCAAGTGACCTCACCAACAAACACATGATAAACCACAGCGCCTCCAGACCGCACTAAAACAAATCGGCATAACGGACCCAATAAACAAAGTGAAAGAACTCTGCATGGTCAAAGGCGCCTCCAGCCTGGCTCTGCCC